CATTTATGAAAGTTGAGCGTGAAGAAAAACAGAAAAAGATAGAGAGACGACAGAGAAGGAGGGAGTGTAAGTGGATGATGGAGGATGAGGAGTTACGATCATCTTGGAGAGACTGCTCCTTTGTTCTGTTGCATTAATCTGCTTTTTTCCCCGTTCCCTTGCTCGTTCTTTTGATCCGCTGTTGGATCATCCCCTTGATGATTCACTAACAGCAAAAGAAATTAAATACATCGGATTGACGACCAGCTCCCCCCAGTCCCCTCCCTGGCTCTCTCTCCTCTCTTCGCCACCACTGCCTCCCTCCTCATCTCCTTCCTCCCCGAGGCCCTCATTTCTTCAATAGATAAGCAGCGGATCCGTTCTTTATCGCTTCGCTCTCCATCTCTATCCTTTTCCCTTCTTCTCTGTTTTTTCCTCTGCGCTGTGTTTAATCCCAGCCTTGCGGTGGATGCATGTCAGAGATGTAATTCTATTGTTTAACATGCTCCTCTGAGCCCCCACCCCACCCCAAACTCAGTCACTCCTGGGGCCACATGCATATTCATCAGCTATCAAAAACAAAAGGCAGATCACACTGTTTGTTGTGTACCGCAGCCAGCGCTATTCAATTCTCTCCCTTCTTTGCTGCTTCTGGCGGATTAGTGCATGTTAAACATATCTCAGACACACAAGTACTAACATATAGACATTCAATCAGAGAAAGATAGTCTGTAGGTTTCTTAACATGCAAGGCGAAAGCTCCTTGTAGATTCTCTTATGTGAAGGTACTGGGAAGTCTGGGAAGAGTGTGGAGCGCAGTGATAGTTGGAGGCAGTAGATGACAAAAGAAGATTTTAGAGCAATGTAGGAAAAAGGGGTGAGTTATGCAAAGGGACATGCATGGCTCTGTGAGACTGTAGGCCATTCATCAGGCAGTCCGGCACAGTCGGAGCCGGAGTGAGAGATGGTCCTCGGGTCCTGCTACAGTCTTCTGGGTGATGTCCAGGGTGCACCGGCGCACAGCTCCAGGTTCCAGGCTCCAGGGCCAGACAGATGTAAACACGGCCTGACCGCACACAGAGGCACACCGCCAGCCTGCCCTCACCTCGCACATAAACAGCCAAGGAGGCCACACCGTGGGCCAGGGGACAGACAGTGCTGAACTTGGCTGGAGGGAAGGGAAGAGAGAGGGGAGGGGGAGATGGAGCATGGAACAGGGAAGGCAAGAGAGCGAGAGGCAATGATTTATGCTTGTTAGAGCAGTTCACATTTCTCAGAAGAAAAAAACAAAAACTGTGGCATCTCGGCATACTTGCCTTAACATTGTATACATTCTATTATTATTATTAGCCGTTCCTAATTGCAGTTCATGCCACCAGCGGTGTGTGCATTTGGTTGATCTTCTTAGATATTTTCTCTAACGCTCTGCCTTGACAGATGCGCTGGGCTTCTCAGCGCCTGTTTGATTCATGCGTCAGGACAAATATGGGTCAAAATGAAACATCCAACACGGTGGCTTCTTCTTGCTTGTTCTTCTCTCTTCTTTTTCATTCCCTTTGCACTTTCTTCTTTTCAAAGCTCGGCTCAGCGGGACTGTGTGTCTCTGCTGCATCACTGCCAGGTTGTGTGTGTGTGTGTGTGTGTGTGTCTAAGTGTGTGTGTGTGTGTGTGTAGGTTTGTGTGATGAGACGTGACAAGCGCCTTCATCCTCCCCTCAGACGCCGCATTCCACAACGCTCCGCCACACGGAGCGAGTGGCGGGCTTTTCATCTTTCCCCTACCCGCTCCTTCCTTATTCTTCTTCTCCTCTCCTTGCTCTTCCTCTCCTCGCTCTCACAGGTGTAAGAAAGGCGCATTGGAGGAATGAAAGGGACAAGATTCTAATTAGAGGAGGAGGCTGAGACAAAAGCAGGGGGATAACGAAGGGAAGCAACGATAACACATGTAAAACACAAAGCCTTAATCTTAGAGAGCGTTTGGAGGGATCTCTCATTTCTCTCCCTCTGCAGTGAAGCGAGGCAGGGGGGTTGTGTGCACGGGAACGCGAGGGGATATGATGTGATTATGAGCACAGAGCTGACAGACAGAGAGATTGGCGTGTGTGTGTGTGTGTATCCCCACAGGGCCTTTGGTTCCCACTCTTCATAGGGACCAACTTAAAAAACACAGCCCTGTAAAAACAGCAGGCAGTTGTACTTTTAGCATTGTTTACTTATTTGGGGAAAAGTGCAACAAAGTACCAATTTATTTAAGTACATTACATCTTAATTCAACAGGTTAAGTTGTTCTGCTTTATGTACTGTATAAAGTTATCAAAAAAGAGCAGTAAAGACAAGACATCAAGTCCACGTTCCTGATTATACATTTCATCACCACCTCCGGCATGGCTCTCTCTCCATCCTTCCCTCCAGTTTTGTTCACTCTGCATGTGAATTCTGTCTGTTTACTTGTTTGAGTCGCCTCTGAGCTTCCCTGACATGCCGTTGCACCTCCAGGGTCCTTGGGTGATGTGATAGGGCTCAGGGACTTTTGGTTTCCTTGCCACTGCTGTGAAACTCCATTCAGATGATGAAACTGCGGTGCAGCTGTGTCTGCGGCTCACGGTGGGATGCTAGTGTCTTTGTCGCTCTCTGCGAGGCAAATTCTCACTGATGAAAGAGCCTGCAAATGTGCCTCTATGTTTCAGTGTACGTGGCACAAATGACAGACAGGTGTCGAAAAAATTATTATTTTTTTTTCACAAATTTTGCCACGAAGTTGGGATCCTGTGAGTCACAGGGAGACTGAAAATAACAGCGAAAAGATAACCTGGCAAAGCACATTTCCAGAGAGTCTTCCCTGAGGTGATGCAAGACTTTAGACAAATGTCTTGTTTGTTCACCACTGAATGGCCATCTTTCATGGGGTGGCATGCCAGCGCGCACACACACAGATTTACAGATGGGAGCAGATCATTTTTCTCCCTCATGAAGTAGGTAGCGAGAATATTACAAATCAAAATCATAATGCATTGCCGTAGGCCAGGGGTCGAACGAGGAGATGCAGCTGTGTAACAGACAGACCGACAGGGTATATATACGTGTGTGTGTGTGTGTGTGTGTGTGTGTGTGTGTGTGTGTGCGCGTGAGAGAGAGTGACAGCAAAGAGCCTTATCCTCCATTAATAACAGCCACTAATCCCCTGATGTGATTACCTCTCCCTCCCTCCCTCCTCACTCTTTCTCCTATTCAACAGCGCCAGCCACTTGTCTTCCATGGCAGAGCTCAGCTGGTCCAATCCCCAGAACAGATCCAAGACTTCCACTGTGTTCAGCTGCCAGGACGATGGAGGTCTTCCAATTTGACGCCTCTCCTTACTAGAACTCGCCTCTGGGCAGGTGTCTAAAAAAGCAAAAGTCAGTGGTGTGGCGCAGAGAAGGAAGCACATTTAAACAGATTAAGACTCATGCCTCTGTTCAAAGCTCTGACACTTAATTCTGCCTGAATGAGAGGTGACGTGCGATATGAATCGTACAAGATATGGTTTTGGATGTTCAAACGTTTATGGAAATATCTGCAAGCATTAAGGATTATGGGTGTGCAAAGGGAGGCAACAAGCATGTCAGTATAGCTATTTTGGTCCTCAATAACTGGCTGCCAAATGAATTTTTTTCAGCATTTGATAAACTCGCTACATCAATACAAAGTCTAGTGTGTTTCTATGGAAACTTAGACCTCCGAGAAGGTTGAATTTTGCCACTTAGCTCAAGATATGCTCAATAGTTACATGCTATGATAAATCTGCACGACGTGCTCAGATTCCATATGAATCATAGAGACAAATACCGTCCAACTTTATGCATCCACAAACATGTTTAACACGCAAAAAGCAGGCAGTTCGAGAGATAGAAGCATGCAGTTACATTTATCTTTTTAAAATCTGTGTTACAACAAGCAAATGTCGGTTGGATTTTTTCAGACACTAAAAAGTATTTTGTTCTAAAGTTTTTTTAAGTTTCCTGATGATGTAATTCTATATTTAACTTGTGAATAATTTCTCCAGTTAAAGGATTGAGGAGCAGTAACAAATGTTCAGAAAATGAATCTTGATGCCGGTGTAGATGCTCAAAAGCATACTGCAGAGGGGCAATTTAAAACGTCAAATGCTCTTATACTGGACATACATGCACAACCGTGTATGTATATCTCACACACACACACACACACACACACACACACACACACTGATGCAGGTCCCTCGGGGGGAAGCGACAGTGCAGCATAACGTGCACTTGGTATACTTGGTCTACTTGGTGATGTCTCCATGGTAACTGTTATGTCTGACCTTCAACCATGTGCGCTGCCTTCCATCTGGCTCAGGTTGGTTAATCAGATCATATCAACACATGCACACAAATGCACCGTCTCATCATGACTGGAGAGAATGTTTGGGTCATTTTTAGAGGTTTTTCCAACAAGTTTCTTAGCAGTCACTGCAATATCAGATGTTCCTTCCCAGTTTGACCAAAACTTGTGGATGTGATTTTAGGATTGCTAATTGTTTTCATTCTGACAGGCATGCTATCGCTCTAACAAGATGAAAAGTTCCCTTTGAGCTGCAGTAGTTTGCAGGGGGTTTGGAAAAGATTTGATTGAATTAGTGCGTCTTTCATCAGCAAATAGGCCAAATCCCAGCACTCTGCACTCTGCACGCTTTCACAAACTGCCCCTTTCATTTCTGTTCAGTTCAATAAGCTCATCCACGCTGCCATTCGCAAATTCATAAGGCCCTCCAGAAGGGCCAACATCTGGCAGCTCCTTAGGCCCAGAACCGTGCATCCGTTCTGGAGCAACGAGGCCTGCAGACCAGCCCCTCCTGTTGAGCTCAGCCTTTGGTGTGTGTGGTACCGTTCAGGGTCTCCACTTCCTGAGTGCTGGTGCCTTGATGTGGCCAGAACCATAGTGCATGATTTATTACAGTACTAACTCTGTCCCCAATGCTAATACTGCCATTATTATGACCACCCCCCCCCCCCCCTTCTTCCTCAATCTCCCACCTGCAGTCTCACTCTGAAGCCTTTACCAGATACAGCTGACACAGCTCTGGCTAATGGCTTACATAAGGAGCGTAGTTTTGTTGCCTTGATGGATGTTTGGTCTCAGAGGATGTTTGAATAGTGTGGGGGGGGGGACATGCTGTGAATGAGGTGACAAAATTGTTGGGGCAATGACACATTAAGCCAGATCAGCCGTTTCCATTTGTCTCCCAACTTGTTGTATTGACTACTGGTTTGTTGCCTTGTGTGGTTTACGGGTGTCAAGCATGGTCCAAGGGGAACCGAGTTAAGTGGAGGTGGCTGGGAGCTAAACTGTTTTTTGGCTGTGTGGCCAATCAAAGCGACCTCATCAAAGTCACCAAACCATTGCTCCCCACAACCTTCCTTGCCTCTTTTCCTCTGTTAATGTAAGTTCTACACAGTGTAATCAGCAGGGCTTAAACAGAGAGGAAGATGGATGAAAGGAGAAGAAGGTGGAGAGGTGGAGGAAAGCACCAGCACAGAAAGGCACCGGTGCTTGTGTAAGCAAAGCCGGAGTGAGGAGGCAGAGGAAAGAAGGCAGAAGGACAGGGGACAGCGGAAGTGCTGGGACCAGAAAGGAGGGATGTGGTGGAGTTGTGTTTACAAGCAACGGTCTCGCAGCGCACTGTGGCTTTGTGTGTCAGCAAATCTGAGTTTGTGATGGCTTACCACTGCAAAAGAATAATCAAGCCATATTTACAACGCTGTAGACAATTAGTCCATTTCTCAGGAAGTGAGAGACATTAGCATGTGAATGCAGAAGCAACAAAAGCAACACTTCCTTCATCAGTAGCTTAGTTGTGGGCCTTCTTTAGAAAGAGATATAAACAAGCAGAAAAGGAAGCGGAAGCCCTTTTTCAACATTCATTCATATACACATCAATTCATACACATCCCAATTGTGCCATGTAGTCCCCGCTGAGACACAAGCTCGGGTATCCCCCCCTACGATCCCCCATTAGTAAGAGACTCCCTCGCAGGCAGCTGTCTCAGAGCCCCACAGAGGTATCAGATCTCCTCCTCTTCCTCATCTCCTTAATTAGCGCAATTAAGAGATTTATAGGACAGATGGATGGAAATCCAACTGGCTGCCGCGCCTGTCTCTGAGGACGACTCTGCCGCTGATGAGGCGAGATCTAAGTGATCTGAGTGAGCCTCGAGTATTAGATCAACTCACTGGTGGTACTCTGGCTCCCTCCTGTGGTTAGAACTGGGTACTGGTGGCCAGTGGTGGTGAGAGTTGCGGGGTTGAAATGGCTGCTTTTGACAATAATAATATAATAATAATAACAATAAGTTTAGCTTTAATTAAAAGAAAATAATAGGATAGTTGTTTTTTGACAATGTTATCTCAACCTTATAAACTACTTTTCATCATGTAAGTACCTGTAGTTGGACTGTTTAAACTTTCACCAGTTGATTTCATTGAGCATATATTTAAACTGCCACATCTGTAACAAGTATTAACTTTTCTACATGACACAAAATGTTTTACGCAATAAAATAAAGTGTTGTTGAACAAACACTGTGGACGTTTATTACTACAGCCGAAAGCAAAATAGAGAGTGGTATTATTTCATTACACATGAAGGCACATAAAAATATTACAAGTAATTGAATGACCTGTTGAGGGTTATTATAGTGTAAACTGATACATATTGTTAGAAAGAGAGGAAACAACAAAAAACTACAAACTTAATACAACAATTTCTGCAACTTGAAAATATTTGAAATAAAGGCAGATCTCATTTAAACTCTGGTGTCGTGATTACAGCTTATTTACTGAGTGTTTAGAACAAAAAGGTTAGTTTTCCTTTACATTAGCTTGATCAACTCAACACGCAGGTGACATTTCTTTCCTCAATGACATAAACTGAAATATTTGTAACCTTATTTTGCAAAATTCGTCAAATGTAATCTAGGCTACTGCTTATCTGTCTTGTCGTAGGCTAAAATCTGGAGTAACTTGTAGTTTTACAGCTCTTGTAGTGACTCGGAGTTTCTGTAACGCAGAGCTTCATTGGTCAGCCACCTGCACACAAGAAAAGGTTTTGGTTCAATCAAGCAGCAATAACAGTTTGTTTTTAAATGACTTCATTCTCTGTACAAATGTGACAAATACTGCAAACGACTCACATGCTCAGGCTGCCTGTTTTCTGTTTTACTCCTATATGAACAGAGATGGTCAGGATCAAATCAAATAAAGAAATCCTGTCGGACTTGTTATGTTCATACTGTCAGGAATACTCACGTCGAAGCTGCCACGTGGTTATTATAGCAACAACCGCCACCACCAGCACCACTGGCACCACGATGGCTGCTAGGTGACCACTCTGACTCTCCTCAACGCTCGCCTAGCAGAGAGGATTCAATAACAGTTCAGCTTTGCCTTCACTGGAGGTCTTACGAACACTCAAGTTGCAATAATAGATTTCTGCCATGAGGAGGCAGAGCGTTCCAATTTTGAGGTTCTTCTACTTTACTTGAGTATTTCCATTTTACGCTGTACTTCTGCACCACTATGCTTCAGAGGGAAAGTTCTGAAATTCTGCATAATGAGTATGTTTAATTTTGGTACCTTAAAGGTGCAGTGCGTAGGATTTGGCGCTATCTAGCGATGAGGTTGCAGATTGAAACCAAGCGTGGCAGACGCAAAATAGTGAAAAAAGCCAAAGGCCATATCTAGAGCCAGTGGTTGGTTTGTCCATTCTGGGCTACTGTAGAAGCACGGTGTTGCAACATGACGGACTCCGTGAAGGTGACCCGCTCCATATATAGATATATAATCAGCTAATTCTATGGTAACTATTCATATTTTCAGGTGATTATACACTAAAGAAAACATACTTGTTATTATCATATTCCATTTAAATCCCCCTAAATGCTACACACTGTCCCTTTAAGTATTTGACGCTAATACTTGAATGCAGTACTTTAACTTGTAACAGAAAGAGAGATTTCTACATTGAGATATTATAACTTTTACTGAGTGAGTACTTCTTCCACCACTGATGAGTGTTTCAGACTCAAACATACAGTAAATGTGCGAAATGGCTTCAAGAGGCTAAAGCTTGGCAGCTATCTCTCTGTGGGTTTGTCACTGTAAGCGAACCCTTAAACATTAACTTGCACATGTTAAAAACATGTTCTTTGTTTTTGAAGTCATAGTTCTCGTACTTACAGCAGCATGAGTGTCAGTAGATATGGTGGTAAGGAGGTCAACACTCTGATGACCTGTCAGACACCCACAAAGGAAAGTAGCTCAGTGGAAGTTTTGAAAGTGTTGCTTCTCAGAAAACTGCTCAAAATGCAAAGAAATAACCAATGGGGTCACTTAAGGTATTTCCTGTTCTCTCTGGACTGTGATTGCGTTATCATAAAAGTGGATTTCCTTTATATTTGTAGCAGCGTTGGTGAGTGTGAATAAGGGCCACTACTTGAACTAACGAGCCACAGCATCACAGTAACACTAAAGAGTGTAGCAATAGAAACACCAGTACTGTTCTGCCTGATGTACCGCAGTAACAAAAAAAACAGAGACAATGAGAATAAAAAGAAAAGAAACAACTGCAAGAATCATGAAACACAACACCTGCTTCTCCAGTGGTGATGGTGATGACATTGCTAGCTTTACTGGTGCCCTGACTGTTCTTGGCAAACATGCGGATGTTGTATGTTGAAGGAATTATCTCTATTATTGTGGCCTCTGTCTGGTTGGGGCTAAAGTCAACAACTGTCTTTGTGTAATCCCACGAGGCTGTGGAGGAAAAGAAAGAGAACTATTTTACATTATATCACCAGATGCCAGAGGGTTTAAAAATGTGAATTTAATGTCAGCAGTTGAGTTACAGCAAAGTGGCAAGGACTTAATTACTCCATTGAAAATGTCTCTTACCGTTCACTGCTTTACACTCCAGGTAATAGCCAGTGATGGGGCTGTCACCTTCAAACCCAGGAGTCCATAAAAGGGAGATTGTATTGTCTTTGACCTCCTTCAACTCAATCACTGGGGGATCCGGGGACACTGGGAGACACGCAACGGAGACATTTAGCAGAGAAAAACTGAAAACTGTTTAATTTTGAACATTTTTTATTCTGCAGAAAGACAGGTTGTGATGATCATGTCATGTGCAGACAAACTAGAGCCGTGATTAATGGCTCTCTTAAAGGGACACTATGACAGCACATGTGATCGAACTTGGATTTGGGCACATTTTGCGACTCACAGAGACTGTGGAAGACCTGCATTCAAATAAAGTTACATGCAGATGTAAAGTCTTGAATGCAAAATGATGTAATAAACAGCAACAATAATTCAGTGTCAGTGGAACAACTCTATATGAAACACATGAAGTACCTGTGATACTTGTGGTGCTTTCTCCCCAAACAGTGGCAGCAGTAACAGTCTCAATTGTTGAAGTTCTGCGACCTTGGGACACAACTATATACATTTTTCGTTTGTTTTTTAAATCCAGTCAAAATTTATTTCTGTAGTTCTCAAGATGTTAATAAATGATTCAGGAATATGATTCATTTACCAAATAACACATACCTGAAGTGACACTTGTAGTGTCTTGTATCCAAATTGTGGCCGCAGTGGAAGAAGATTTGATAGTGGAAGCTGTTGATGTTTTGTGAACTTGAAACAGATAAAAAATCCAACTTCTGTAAATGACTCGATATTAAATAATAATAATGAAAAGAATGTTTTTGTCATATTTTGGTATCCTCTCGTGTTTCCCATGTTGTGTTTCTCGTGTTTACCCTCATCCAGAGTGGAGCAGAGAGGTGCAGTGGAGGCAGGTCCTACTCCTGCATTTGTTTTGGCCTGTATAATCACGCCGTATTTGGCAGAAGGCTTCAGGTTGCCCAGGATGACGCTCTCTTGTTCCTGTGTGGCCGTCACACTTAAGTGCTGCCACCTTTTGAACTGTCTGCCTGCAGGGTCATACTCTCTGTAGCTAATGCTGTAGCCCTGAAGAGCCCCGTTTCTGTGATCGAACCTCGGAGGCTGGTCGAGAGAAAACACTCTTAGAGTTGTAACGTATGACACTTTTTCTTTTGAGACATATCATGTAGGATGAACTCCAGACTCAAAGCCTGGGTAAAATGGGTGCAATATTTTTTTTATATCAAAAAAAACATTTTCTTGAATGTGTCTGGAAGTTAAGCTTCAAAACTGTGACATTACCTTCCAAGTGACTTTGATACTGTGAGAAGTGACGGCCTCCAGCTGCATATCCAGGGGAGGACCCTCTGGTGCTGCAAGGAAAACACTTATTAAAGAGGCCATCCGTCCAAAAAATAATGTTTTATTAGTTCTGCACGATTCTAATCATTTCTAAAACTATAACTAATGAGGGACACTACCTGCTTCTTTAGTTGTGACTGTCAGAACATTGCTGGCCTCGCTCATGCCCACACTGTTGATAGCAAACATGCGAAGGTTGTAGGACTTGGCCGGACGCAAATCCACCAAAGTCAGCTGAGTCAGTTCAGGATTTGAGACTTCGGTACTCACTGCAGTATCCCAGGATGCTGTGCAACAAGGATCCATAGATAAGGTCAATACATCATTCTCCAAGTATATTTCCAAAGATATAATTAATGTCCTAATTATATTAAGATTATTGGGATCATTGTCTATGCTTACTCTGTTTGTTTTTGAGATCAATCCTGTAGGCTGTAATGGGCTTGCCGCCATCAAACACAGGAGTCCAGCGAACAGTGACAGTTCTTTCCTTCACCTCTCTCGTATCCACCCTCAGAGGATTAGGCCGTACTAAAAGAAATAAGAACCAAGTTAAATGCTTAATAGTAGATTAATAAATCATCAGATAAAACCATGTGCAAAGCAAATCAAAGCATGCGTTTGTTTCAGCGCAGTAGTAGACAGTAGTCTGGATTTCTGGGAAGTTGTGAGGGACATTTTTCCAACAAGCAGGGAGTCCCTCGGCAATTCCAGTAACTCATTTTGTCACAAATGTTAATGTTTTGTCTCTCCTTCACAGATTAGAATGTCTCCCCGTGGGTCTCACCTGCCACTACCGTCAGAGTCAGCTGGTGCTTGTGATCATTGAACCAGCCCGGTATTTCCACACGGCAGCCGTACGTCCCGGAGTCGCCCTCCTCCACCTGCCTGATGGTCAGCGACACATCTCCCACACTAACATCCCCCCTGAGCTGGTAACGCTCCGACAGTCTCTTGATCACTGATGTCCCGTCTGACCTGATCACCTCATTGGCACAGCCACTGTTGGGGACGGCTCCCCGACCCCAGCATGCAGCAAGCTTGCCGTAGTTAGCATCATAGTTGCATATCAAAGTAACATCTTCTCCCACTGTGGCTATGATGCTTTCTGCAGACACACAACCTGAGAAGATAGCAAGTCCCAATGGCAACAAGGAATATTTGGTAAGGTATAATAAATGAAACATTTTAATTATCACATAAAGAAAATGCAAATCATACTCATGACTGTCTTACCTAGGAGAAGACTAAAGAGAAGATTGCAACACAGAGGGAGGCATCTTAGAAAAATCATTGTACTCTCGTCTCAGAATCAATTAGGGTTTGTTCCACCTGCGAAGCGACACTGAGCCAAACCACAGTGTGGTTTCAGCTTTGAAATCCTTCCAAATCACATGACGCCGTCCTTGACATGCTCACACAAACAACTTCTGCTGGCACAAGTGGAATGTTGAAAAGAGACGTTTCCCTTTCTGTGGTTTTGGTTCCTTATCCTAGAAGTAACACACGTTTCATTTTGACGATTTGACAGACAGAATCAAGGTTATCACTTGTACTGCCTTCCCTCCTGGTGTTTGTTCTCAGTCCTTGTGACAGAAAGAAATTCAGGAAGTTTCAAACATTCAAACTCTTAACTTTATTCTTGGATGAGGAGCTCTGCATCCACAGAAATTCTGCAGTAAAATGTGCTACTTTTTTTTTTAACTGAGCACACACTAAGCGTCAGACAGTTCAGTCTTCAGACGTATTTTCAATATACGTCTGAAGACTGAACTGTCTGACGCTAACTCCAATGCTAATATTTACTGTCAGCATGTGAGCACAAACATAAAATGGCTGTAGATATATTATCTTCATCTTCATTTCCAAGAACGTGACTCAATGTGTCCTGAAATATAACAATGATAAAAATAGAAAGTCTGGTTTACTCAAGGGCTATAGACTTCTGTGCGTTTCTGCCGAGTAAGCACTTGGGTCTGGTGGATGTTTAGTAACCAGCACAGAACTTCCTCTTTGATCACTCCACAAACATGCAGTTGGTACAGCTAACTATGGAGATATTCATAAATACGACACGGTCGAGTTTCTTTTATTATTGTAATCATTTGTTGCATTGAATGCACTTTAACTTTCGTATTTGCAGAATGAGATGACCAACACGATTGTGATGCACACCAGAAATAAAAGAGAAACCGCAACAATAAGAAAACATACAGACTCTGCACAATTCAGATGATTCTCTCACATCAGTCATGAAATTCCTGTAAACACGGTCACAACCACATGAAGATCATTTCCCTCGCTGACTCAGAAACGATGCCTTGCCCTTGATGTAGTGGATTCTGAGGGTAAATGCAAAATTGCATAAAAACAAGAACTGGAACAGTGAAATGTGAGAACATCGAGTGAAATTCTGCATCAAAGGTTTCACAGTGAGCTCTAAATGAAACAAAAACATCCGTTTGTTCGGAATGTTTGAATTGAAAAATATACAATGAATCCATTTCGATCATAAAGAAAGAGATGAAAATGTGATTTACATTGAGCACAACAGCAATTCATCACTCATCATTCTTACAGGAAAATACACAAGGAACTGTGGACATTGATACGGCCACTCAGTGTATTCTTCTCTGATATGTTGACAATAATGTGTCATACCTGTTTTTTTCTGTCTTTGGAAAAACGGAAAGAAAAACAAGACAAGGAATCAATTCATCCACTGGATATTTTTGCATCTTCTGAGCCTCACATGAAACGTATTCTGAGAAAAGTGCAAATATGCTGCTGAGAATTTGAAACCTTTTTAACATCGTTCAAAAGGTTTCTCTTATGGCTGTGAACATAAATAAAGTCAAGAAACGTCATGACAGACATGTCTTCATTCAGGTGATCCTCACTCAAGCTTTTGGACACTCATAACTGTTCTCAGCATGTTTTAGGAAATCTAACCCAAACAAGAAAAACAGACTTAATATCGGCCAAGTGTTTCAGAGACAGACATGTTGCTTATAGTTCAGCCTTCTGTTAACCGTAGGCAAAAGGTCTTCGGTTAGCAGCAGGCTAAACTTTCAGCAACATTTTCTGACCGTCTCTGGAAAACTTTGCCAATATCGTAGCTCACTACAGCCTCAAATCACAGTATCTCATTTCAGAGGGCTTCACGGGCCCTCAAGTCTGCAAAGAAAACACGACGGTAATTCTCATAGAATTACCTAGAAGAGCTGTATCGGTATCAGCATCACAATAACGATTGGGATGATGTTTGAGATGAAAGAAGAGTACTCATAATCATACTCATATGCCCGCGTTTGTCTGGTGGGAGGGGCTTAGGACAGAGAGGAGAGCGCTGCATTTTTTAATTCTGGCATATTTGTGCCCTTTCCAGAATACCGTCTATCCTGGGGTACCACTTGAATTATGCTGAAAGGCTATTATGGAGTCTGTGGTTAAGGTAACCAAGTTGTGGTTAATGGTGAACATAGTAAAAAAACAAAACCGTAACTGCTGGAATATGATGTGATGAAATTACATGCTGCCCTTCATCCAACCACGCCCACTAATTGGATGTGAATTATACTCTGCAAAATCATCCAGCAAGAACTGTGTTCCTAAAATAGACGAAAGAAGGAAGGCACACTATCTTTTAATGTGTAAAAGTAATCTGAATGGCGCACGGGTCACAAACTATAAACCATTCAACACGAATGGAAAATAAGGACGAGGATTGTGATGAAGAAGAAAATGGCTGCCACCCTGTCAATGTTCCCCACTCCCAGGCTATTATTTTATTCCTCCAATAAAAATGAACCTTATGAGGGACTGGGTCAATTATAATTGGCACATATACGTATATACTGTAAGTGCCATAAATATGCAGTACATTCAAATATATATTGTGTTGAAAACTTTAATATTTCTCTGCACTCTATTTCTTGCTTCCAGGTTTAACCCACACCCACATAAGTGCACATTTACATTAAATTGATCAATTATTTAACAATTTGGGAAATCATTTTTATCACTCAATTATGAAGGGAAAGCTCAGTGTTTTGGCACATCTTGCCCTTTTTGGGAAAAATATTACTGAAGAAGATCAGGTGATGAAACGCATGCGCCATAAATATCTTGAAATAAATTTAAAGGAAAACCTGTACTATAACGTTATACTCTGTCTCTCCTCCAGCTTAACTCAGTCCTACAGCCAGTGGGAGGTCAAGTGGGTTGATCAACTCCTTTAACCAGAACATTGGCGGTCTCGGCTCCAACTGTCCGTATGTCAAGTGTCCTTGAGCGAGATATTAACCCCAAGTTGCTTCCCAAGTGCTTCCCAGCAGCCTACTGCTCCTATATGCTAAAGCCGGGTTAAAAGCAGTGGTCAAATGTAATTTGCGTATACGATGAGGGTAATAAAGTTCATGTTTTTTGTTGATATGATCTCTTGCTGCTGCAGTTTGTTTTACTGGAAATGTTTGGATGCGTCTTGCTGTCTTTTTAACTTTTCATGCGACTTCTTTTAGCCCCACACCCTTCCCTCAAGGGACTTGGCTTTGTTCTTAATGACTCGCCTGGTTAAATAAAAGGTTAAATCAAGTGTGCATGTGCACATAACCACACAATGTTGATCACAGATAAAACAATATCAACCTTTATTTTTTTTATACCAAAATAAGTTTGAGGAACACAACACAGAGGTTTCAATAATGTTCAACTGAGATACAGTGAAATGTTGTATATATAAATGTTACTTTGTACTGTACTATGGCTAATTAGACAATCTTTATGATATTTCATTTGGGAAATATGTTTTAGAAAATAGTGGCGACACTTCCGATGCTTAATCATTCTTGGTAAAACATTAAAAATAAACTTTGTTTTTAAGCTACAGTAGATTTTAACGTCATAATTTGGTCTCAAACAAAAAGAGCGTTACCAAAAATCGATCCATTATATCCAGACACTGATGGAAGTTGAAACTTCTGTATATTTCTAGACCACTGAGTAAACATTTGTGTCCAACAGATGCTTAGTAACCCAGCACAGCACAGAACTTCTACTCTGATCGCTCCCACAACTACTACAATATAAAAAAAAAGTAGTTGGATTTTCCTGTAGAAGAAAAGATATCATTAATATTTATCAATAATTACACCTGTTAAGTGTAGTTACGCACCGGATTCCAGGAGATATTGAGGTAGAAATTATTAAATTCATATAATTTTGCTCATACAGGGTAATATAATGAACTCTTTTTATGCAAGATCTTGGATAATCACAATACATGTATGCTTGTGAAGTAGAGAGGTGCATATATCAGCAAGATTTCTTTAAAAACATGCAAAGTTGACACATTATACTTCTCACACCAGCCATGAAGTATACAGTTGCTGTAAACACAGTCACTTTCATTTCCCTTACTTTGCCAAAGAAATTCATAGAACAACTGCACGCCAAAAAAACGGATTAATATTAGTGTTTGAGTGACTCCTCGCGTTAGAAAAATTGCACTCTTTGTTGGCCAGTTTTTTTAATATACAATTAATGTCAGCTTTATTCACAACATATAGAGTACGAATAGACAATTGATAGCTTCACACGGAGTGCACACATTTTGATAATGATGCATTAAGTCCAATAGGTGGCATTGTGTCCACAAGGATAAACCATCGACCAGCTTTTAAGGGCTGTGAGATCCATTTTGCTGTGAAAAACAGCAAATCAATTAATCTGCAGGATATTTTTGCATCTTTTCAGCCACATATGACACACATTTGCCTTTTTTCCAGAGCAGTCAGAGTGGTGGAACCCAGTAAGGTGCTTAAAATGGGCTCAAAAGGTTTCCCTTTAAAGCTGAAGAGGTGGATCAAGTCAGCAATGACAAGCAGACACATTCAGCAAGCAGTTCCTTATCGACTCACTTATCCTCATAATGTTGAGACCCTTCATAATACTTCATAAATGTTTTCAGCAGCTGAGGTGTGGGGATGTTGAAGTGTCCTCTTTGGCAGAAATCTTCTCCCTGATTGGAAGAAATACAAAAATGAAATGATATTCTCAGTCTACAAAAGGAAGACGCACTCGGTGACTTCAACGGCTCGATAGACGCCCACATTTAATGTGTAAAATGAATCTGAAGGGCACATCAGTCACAAATAATAATCCATTCCACACTTACGGAAAACAAAGACGAGGATTATGATTATGGCGGAGAGGAAAATAGCTGCCGCCCTGGCAATGTTCCCCACTCCAAGGAAGGCTTTGAATTTTTCCTGCAATGAAAATTAACCTTATCATGAGGGACTGGGTGAATTATAATTGGCACATAGTTTGTAATATATTCCATAAATATACAGTATATTGAAAATATATTGTATATTCAAAACTGTTAATATATCTGTGTACTCTATTTCTCACTTCTAACCCACACATGTGCAAAGCATAGCACCTACATCTGAATTATGTTTCAATAAGAATAACATGCAAAAGCCACACACTTATCATTGTGATGACTTTTTTTCTAATTATGGTTCCAATCATTCTTGAGACAAAATGTTCCTGAAGAAGGCAAGATGTGCTTTCACATTGGTTACAAATAAATAAGAAAGATTGCATGAGAGTTATGGGTGAGCAGCTTTCCTCTGTATTTTAAAGTCTCATTGTAGACAAACACTTACTGAGATTAGGTGTGAATTTTACTTCAGTTCTTTATAACAGCTCAGACACATAACACTATAGGTTTTCATTTTAGTGACATTCTTCGTGCATTGTAAGAAGTATAATTGTGTGCATACACTTTGTTCTGTGGGTTTCTTTCTGAATAACATTTTACATTTCCTCACTTTTGGAAAAAAATAAAAGCACAATACCGCAGTTGTTGTAACTGCAGATATGTCCAATGTTGGGTCACCGACTTCTACATTTGTAGTCATGGATGTTGTCAATATTTCTGTAAGGAGTTGAAACCATCAGTTACTACCATATATATAAAATAAAGTTTATCATCAACAATTAAATGCAATGAACATGATGTTTCATCCCTGAACACAAAACATTGCCAATAAAATAGCTTGAAGACAATTTTCATCAACATGACCACTATTCAACACTATCATTTCATACACAGGTGGTTGCTCACCTTGTGTCCCAGCTGCAGTAAGTGTCCAGGTCTGGGTCACGGGTTGTTCAACAGGAGCTTGAAAAACAAAATACCTTAAGGCTGGATAACAGAGTTCTTAATCAACCTGGATGATTTTCATGAGCGTTACCTTCCTCCATGACCAGGTCTGTGTTGACCTTCTCGTCATTGAACCACCCTGGGATCTCGAGCCTGCAGCCGTACACGCCGGCATCGCTCCACTGGGCGTCCAGGATGGTCAGCGACACATCTCCGTCCGTCACCCTGCCCAGCAGCTGGTACCTGGGCGACTCCCTGACAAGCACAGCCCCATCCTCTGAGGAGACGATGGTGTCGGAGCATTTGGACCTGGGCACCATCTCTCGTCCCCAACAGAAACTCAGGACGCCGTGAGTTTGGGAGTCATACGTACAGGGCAAAGTGACATTGTGCCCAAAGAAGCCAATGACTTTAAGGGTGCTGGAGGACACTGTGGAGCACAGCCATTGATCAAACTGGATGATACAACGCAGATTGTAATTAATAAATGTGAAGCCCACGAATGCATCCACACATGCACGCACACACATCAGCACTCTTACACCCACAAACACACTACAAATACAAGAAAACAGAAAAGCGCAGAATATCGACTCACCTTGGGTCAGGATGGAGAGGTAAAAATAACAGAGACCACGCATCTGTGTAGGCTATTGTATAACAATGTCCTGAAGTGAGGAGAAGAGGAATTTCTCCCTACACACTGCAGCTCTATTTCATGCATCGGAGTTTCAACATCCCTTTTTTGAAAATCAGGAAGGAAATCAACACTAGTCATGTCTACATCTGCATTTTGTGACGTGCAATGAGCTCACATCATCGTATCTGCGGTTATAGACCTCATTGTTGTCCATAGAAACATCAGCTCTCAATTGTAACAAGATACTGTAAGTGAAATTTAAACTCACAACACGCAATCCCACATGCATTCATTGGAGGACACATGTTTTGGAGTCCTCAGCCTGTCCCTTGGAAAATATTTCACTCAAAGTTTCTGTAAGATTTATTACAATTACTCAGTGAAGCAGTTTTATCGCGCTGTCTGGTTACTAGAGTTTTCCCTCCAGCTTCTATCTTACCAAACCCCATCTGACCCCGTTTAAAATGCCCATTTGCTGTCCTTTACAAGTGAACACAATACCCATAGCCAAATCCTATTAGGCTTAAGAGATTCCTCAAAGTGACTAATAAAGTTGAAATGATCCATTTTATTAGTTTAGACCCTAAAGATACTATTGTAGACCACTTTGTTTCCTCTTTTTATTTTGTTATATTGTAGAATAAAGCTCTTTACCGGTCAGTTTCTTTCTAATGGAACAATTTGTGGACAAGCGTAGTTTTCGTCTCTGTCTTCCTCTACTTTCAAACTTTGATAGAATGTGTGTTTCGCAAACAGGATATGATTGTGAAGTGTGTTGGTATAGCTGGGAACAAACAGGTAAGTCACGAATCGGTCAAGTTTTGAATGTATGGTAAGATAAAGATCACCACTGAGGGTTCCCGTTAGTGCCTTTGTGTATACATGTGTGGACGTGTGTGTGTATGGTCTCAAAGGCCATTGTTGAATGACCATTACTAACTGTGCGTATGTGAGGACTGCAACCTAAGAACAATATTTTGTCTTTGCCTGCCCTACGTTCACCTCTAACATGCCCGTCTCCACCTCCACTTGTCGACACTGTCGGCCACCATTGAGCTGCTGTATTGCTCCATAGATCACTGCCCTCCCACAATGATGTCCTGTGTTTGGTTACTTCTCGTTCTCGTTCCTCTTAGCTGTGACTTTATTCCCCGATTGTCCCCGACTTACAACTAACAAAGAACTGAAACTGTTCAATAGACTGGAGAGAGACTATTACTTATAAAGAGCTGTATCTTGTTCAAATTAAACAGTAGATATGATACAAGCAGTAAACTGAACTCATAAAACAACTCATTAATTCAAGTTTCTCTCTATTTATTTTCTTTAATAAGATTTCATGAAAATAAACGTCAATGTGCCGGCACTACAGCAGGCTCTTTAAGACCACTGCTCCCTCCATAAAGCTTCTAGTTGCTTGCTCAACTTTGCAAGAGGAGGCTTGTTTACTTTGATTTCCTGTTTGGGTTGAGATTAGATGAGATTAGAGCCATTGTCAATCTTCTGTACAGATACAGGTTTAAAAATGGCCTTTAAAGATTAATTGGTCTGGTTCAAAGCAAAAAAGAGCCAACACTAACAAATCTATGGCTGGGCAACATGCTGATGTCTGATAAAACCAGGGGCAAACAGAAAAAGAGAAGTGAGACGACAGAGGTCAGAGTCGTATTTAAACATTGTGAAGGAGGCTGGTAGGTGCTGCATCGTCAGGTCTATTTCTGGAGGAACTGAGAGACGGAGACTGAAAGTGAAGAATTATGGGGGCACTAATACAATACACACATCATAGCTTCATTCTTTGTCCATTTGAGGTTCTCTTAAGCGATTCATCACAGCAAGCAGGCGAGAGTTTCGATTTGCAATACTGACATTAGAGGATCAATTGTTACCTTTGGAACAAACATGCTGAGCTGTCAAACAGCTCCACGGTCCGTCAGATGACCTCTACTTCCTAAACGTCTGATCAGACACCAACCGTCTGCTGGACGAGGTATAGGACAACAGCATGCTTGAAGATGCTTCGGCCAACACTGCCCCCTATTATTCTGTTATACCTCCTCACATTTAACACGTGTTTGCCACTCTGCATATAAAGGTAACATGTCATTCCTTACATGTAATGGCTGTACCACTTAGCCTACATGTACATGCCCATATACAGTGGGTACGGAAAGTATTCAGGCCCCTTTAAATGTTTCACTCTTTGTTTCATTGCAGCCATTTGCTAAAATCAAAAAAGTTCATTTTATTTCTCATTAATGTACACTCAGCACCCCATCTTGACAGAAAAAAACAGAAATGTAGAAATTTTTGCAAATTTATTAAAAAAGAAAAACTGAAATATCATATGCTCTGGACCTCAGACTGGGCTGAAGGTTCACCTTCCAACAAGACAATGACCCTAAGCACACAGCTAAAATAACAAAGGAGTGGCTTCGGAACAACTCTGTGACCATTCTTGACTGGCCCAGCCAGAGCCCTGACCTAAACCCAATTGAGCATCTCTGGAGAGACCTGAAAATGGCTGTCCACCAACGTTCACCATCCAACCTGACGGAACTGGAGAGGATCTGCAAGGAAGAATGGCAGAGGATCCCCAAATCCAGGTGTGAAAAACTTGTTGCATCATTCCCAAGAAGACTCATGGCTGTACTAGCTCAAAAGGGTGCTTCTACTCAATACTGAGCAAAGGGTCTGAATACTTATGACCATGTGATATTTCAGTTTTTCTTTTTTAATAAATTTGCAAAAATTTCTACATTTCTGTTTTTTTCTGTCAAGATGGGGTGCTGAGTGTACATTAATGAGAAATAAAATGAACTTTTTTGATTTTAGCAAATGGCTGCAATGAAACAAAGAGTGAAAAATTTAAAGGGGTCTGAATACTTTCCGTACCCACTGTATACTGTAAAAACGTCATTGATATATGAGCATAACTATGGAAAAGAACTATCTGAGAAGAGATAAATATTGACAAGTCAGTGTGAAATGTATTTATTCATATATTCAACATTTGATGCCCTGATGAAAACCTTGCGGTCGCCATGTTGAACAAATATTTTGGTATGACAGCTTTTATCTGTCCTCTGCTCACCTCCATTGACAGCTTGTTTTTGCCTCCCCTTGTCAACGCCATCAGTGAGAAGAGAAAGAGGCCTCAAAGACCACCACTGAGCTCCGAGAGTAAATATTACCTTACTTAATATTGTGGTCAGCTTCGCGATATTGACCCCAGGCCCTTTTGAACACTACACCTGTCAGCAATCTTAAGGTGTATTTATAGTTGTGCGTTAGGGGGGTTACAGCAAAGCTTTGGAGCCTAACACAAAGTGCACAAGTGACCAAAAATGTTACGTGTTCAAGATACAAAGCCCTTTAGTTGTGGTAGCAATTATGATGAGAGCAAAGGAGGAAGTCAGGTGAGAGAATTATAGAGTAACCAAGTGCGTGTAGGGAGGGGGTTGGGGTGGATAGGTCAACAGGTTAACAAAACATCTGACTTTTGTCACAGGAGACCGCTGTTTATTTCTTGTTACAAACCCACACTCAACACTGTCTTGTTAAGCATGACCACAATCGTCCCCTCACCTTCACGAAGTTCAACCCAAAACGTGATCTTTCCATAAACTTAGCCATGTCGTTTATTGTGCCTTAAACGTAGCTAAACGTCACACATGGCTTTGTCAAATCCTTCCTTTTTCAACACCAACAGATTTGGAAGAAACAGACAAATTATGTCGTCCGATGGAGGCGTTGAATTAGAAAACGCTTCCATGTGTCGTTCTTGAGGGCATGGACAAACATATTTTGTTGGATAATTAGGAGGACTTGTTGGCCATGGCCGATGTGCCCCTCCTCTAAAATGTAACTACATGTTGGAGGCAGCTACAGAGATACCACATGGGGACAACAAGAACTGCGATTGGTCAACAGCGGCACTTGCGTTTGTCCTACAAGATGCTGGTGGAGATTGCCGAGTGTGAAGAGAACATGAAGCCGGTTGAAGGAATCAGTAGTCTTTGGCTTTCCAGAAACGCACATCTATCAAAGCCATTTTCACAACCTTCTGCTCACCACGGTCCCCGGTCACCGTCATAGTGAATGAAACATAAATGCAACAACTGATCAGAATGTTCCAATATTCAGTAAAGAGACAAAACAAACATTTTCAACGTTGCTTGTATTACAATGCGAGTGAAATAAAATGAAGCATTATACAACCCGATTACAATATGGTTCAACGTATTTGTTCAGTGCTGCGGTGGTCATCGGTTGAAATCAAACGATAAACTTCAACTATCAAAACTTAACCGTTCTCTGGTGGAAATAATCATTGGTACACAGAAGTTAGAGCGTCTCCAGCCTTCTGCTACTGTTTCAAACGTTTAAAGACTCACTCTGCACACTCAGAATTTGGGTGACTAGCTAGCCACACCGGTCATAGAAACCCGGGAAGCTGGGAAGGACACTGCAGAGACATAGAGCTGGTTGAAAGTAAGCAAAGTTTCCATTTCATCTCTTATTCGTCCTTCTCCTGACTAACAACAGGTGAGGCAGGTGTGTGTGTGGAGCCAACAATCCTCTGTAGCTCCGAAGGTTTCTTTGTATAATATCAGTCAGTCAATCACTTTTCCTCCGTCGATTTATTCCTTATTTCTTCTTCAAGAACATACTCAAATCTGTGTGCTTTTCTCTGTTTGTGTGCAATTTATGTGGAGCCCCGGCCTTTTCCCCACTTCTTACTTCCCACCCTCAGCTCTCCTGGGATTGTGTCTGAATACCCCCTTCCCTCCTCTCTCCTATTAATATCCCACGAGGGAGACCAGAGCTCATGGGGAGTTTGGGAGCGGAAACGCCTCCAAGCACCCCTGGAAGACACAAAGCTGGGCCAGGGTGAGGAAAACAAAGAGCGACACAGATTGAGGCGAGAGAGGAAAGAATTTCTGTCTGAATGTGTGAAAGAGGATTAGAAAACGTGAGTGAGGAGAGGAAACGGGATGGAAGGGAAAGAAATAGGGGATGAATTAAGAATGAGCAAGTTGGCACTGCACAGGATGTGGAGATCTGTCCCTGATAGACATACACCTTATACTCACCAGCACAGTTGGCTGTCAGTAAAATAAATAGCATTCACACTGTCTCCTTTTAAAAAGGACATAGTAATCATTGTAATTTTCCACTGAACATTCACAGCGCTCGTTTTCTTCTCTTTTTCCTCCCACCCACAGTGTGCTGGGACGCTGCCATGATTCCTGTTACTCATTGCAGCATCGTTATGGGATACAGTGGCAAACAGTGTTTTCCCACAAATAATCCTTTCTGGATCAGTGACTTATCACTTGAAGATGCCTGTGGTCATCTGTGTTGTGTACTTTGTAGCAGACTGTGGCCTAAAAATGGGCATGAGAAAGGTAGGATGCTGAGACTGTGCCTCCATGCCGACACGGCGTGAGGAGGAGAGCCTCTGCAGGATATTAGGATACTTAGCCAACAGCATTC